TAAGAAAAGACTAAAGAAATTTATCATATTATTAAATCTATTCTACATTTAAAATATATGAGTCCATAATGAAGGAATCTGAATAGTTATTAATATAGTTTTCTTCGAATAGGGCGCGTAAGAGATTTTAATCTAGAAATGTAAAAGTTTCTTCATGAATGCAAATTCTGAATAATTTTGTGCGAAAATGAAGAAATTCTTACTGGCACTGAATGAAACTCCAATAAACTTTTGTTTTGTAGACAGGATCTCATGAATATGCTGACATTTATTAGTATTTATATGCGCATTTCATGGTCATTTATTATATCTGTCACTTATATAAAATAATAGGAAATAAAATATACTACATAAGAATTTTTTAATTACAATCCGATTATGCTTAAGAAAGGCACATACATCATCGATATTAAAATCCCATTATTAACAGAAAAAAAATCTTGTTTTGAAAATTTACCCAATACTGTACATTAAAAATAATCTACTCAATAACAGGTTTACAAGAAACGTTAGGGGGTAAATTAATTTTATTTATATCAAGACATTTTAGTTTTGTTGCTAAGGTTTTTATTTTGCAATGATGTTTATTTTTGTCGTGCATTTATTTTCATAAAACTGTGGCGATGACAATTTTTGTATGAATAATTTTAATGTAGCTAGTTGTAATGATTAATTAAGTAGAGAGTGTTTATTATAGTTTAAGAAACTGTTTTTAATTTCAGGATTCTGAGTAGCCTCAATAACCTTCATATTAAATATAAATATATTTGAGTCATATTGATTTTTGAATTTGGAAGGTTTTTATTTTTTTTTTTTATAACAGAATTTTTTTTTGAACTATTTACCTCTCAAAAAAAAAAATAAAGTGTTTACCTTACTTGCCATATTTAAAGTTTCAATGTAACCCTGACATCAGGGCATGTTTAGTGTGTTAGGTTATGTGAAATTTTAACCGTTGGTTCGTTTGTTAATTTATGAATTTATCTGTGTCCAATATTGGTTCATTAATAGGCAAAGACAAATCTAATCCATAAATTTGTTTGGTATAAATGAACATTTCAATAATTTATAATAAACAGAATAATTATATTTGCCAAATGAAGAGTACACGCATGAATACATTAATAAGTATTAGTGGAATTGATTGACGCGAGGAAATACCTATGATATAATGTAAAATAATATAGTGATATTATAAACGAGATTCAAATGAAGAGGTTATAACAAATTTTACATAAAAAATTAATTCATCAAATAAGTTTTGTGAAGCTGTTTATAATTATAACTGTCGTAACCGTAATCATAATTTGAGGAAATTCTATTGTATCAATCGAACAATTTTAAAGACATACAAATCATGAAATAAACAAAAGTTATGGTTATTGGTAAATTTGAGAAATGAATAGTGATAAGAATAACATAACTCTCACTTCACCTCCAGTAAACAATAAAAACGTTAAAACTTCCGAAATACTGGTTCAAAAATTGTTATCGACAAGTCTTTTTCTTAAGCAGATCACTCTCTATTGTATGAACTTGTTAATTACGTCTATTACCATTTTAAATAATACGTTAATATAGTTAGAAGGAAAAAGAAATGGACACTAAAATGATTTAATCATTCAAAAAATAAATAATAATTAAATAATTCAAAAGATTTTTTTTTTTAATTACTAGGTATTTTCGTAATTGTATTTATCATACAAAAATAATTATTTTGTTAATATTTTAATTCTATTTATTTAGTATACAATAAATAATAGTGAATTAAGCAATAACAAACATTCCTAAAAAATTATGTGTACTATGGCTTATAAATATTTTAGTATAAAGTTTCAATTAGGTTTTATAATGACTTTTTTTTAAATATATATACAAAATTATCAGATAACAGTCGGGATTATGAACTATGTGGACCCCGGGGCGCTCGTGTCCCTTTGATCCTGGATAACAGATATACTTAAAAAAATATTAATAACTAGATTTTATACAACAAGAAAATCTTATAATATATACAAATTACTATTAAATAATTTTAACTTGTAAAATGTTATTGATAGAAAACAATAGATAGATAACACTTTTTTGTTGATTAGAACAAATAATACTTGGAAAGTAATATAGATATCACAGTTAAATTGATTCAAGTTAATTAACTATGATAATGAAATTCTATAGAAATGAAAAGAATGATTTGAATCATTAACGGATCGCTGCCAATTAACAACTAAATGCTGGTAAAGAGTCTATTCTCGTTTAAATCCAGGTGTTTAGTTTATGTGCTTTATTCATTAATTCCTTCTCGCGGGATGGATCTTCATAAATATTAACATATACACAAAGCACCGGGAAATACATATTTTATCTCCTCATTAATATTTAATTTAGTTGTACAGATAAAGTATACAAATAGACAGTGAAGTACGTTTGCGCAGCGTCAAGAATACAAAAAAGGGTCAGAAAAGGATAATTGTAATATTTTACAAACTCAACAATTCTATTCAATTCGGGAAATAATACACCAGAGAGATTAGATTCAAGTGTACCACAATGCGGTATAAGTGTACTTTACAATAGAAATGCCAATAAAAACAAATTCCATCTAAAATCGATTTTTTTCGCCTTGTAAATTACATTTTCCTGGTGTAATTTTCTATTGCACGAGAATATATTTCTGCGATTTTAGAGTAGGTAATAGAGTAGTCTAGACTAATTGAATTATATAAATCTGTGTTCAATTCAGTATATTTTGTGTGTACATGATACCATTTGACTATATGTGTTAAATAACAGATTTAAATAACTTAGATTTAAGTACAAGAATAAAAAGCTTGTCATTCAAAAAAGAATTGTTCAAATCTTTTATAAAGGATAAGATTAAGCATAAATATTACGAGTTATCAATGTTTAATAGGTTTTTACATGTTGTATAAAGTCAATGAGTAAGTAAATGAATAAATGCCGTGCAATACTTAAGATGTTAGTTAATTGAATATGTCAATTGCACAGTTTTGTTACTTGTATCCACACTTAAGAAAACTGAGAACTTCCGCTTAGGCGAAGGACTTTTTAGAGTATTAAATCGAATACTTCAATGGCTGTATTAAACTTTATATAATATTTATCTTTTCGAAGAACTTTCGCTTTTGTGCAATAGAATTTACTCAAAATCGATTTACTTCTTCGCATTAATCATCACAAAAGTAAACCTATACAATTCAAACGCGAAAACTCTATTAACTCTCTATCCAGCAAATTCAATATATTCTAAAAAATAGATAAACTTCTAAAATGTCTACAGGTATCTTTTACCTAAAGACTTTCTTAGATAATATGTTATTTGTAGTATGTTTTAGCTTCCAAATTTTATTCTTTAATAACAATATGGAAAAATATAAAATGCAAGATCTGGAAGTTGCTTTCATATTATTGCTAAAAATTTCTACATAAAACTTTTCAGTAAAAAATTCACGTTTAGAAGTAATTTATAAAGAAAGACTTTTTAGTTTGAACTTAAAGTAAATATAATAATACATTGTCAGCTAAATAATCTAACTTTATCTGACACCTGTCACAAGAAACAGATGTTCATATGAGTTTACGGGAAGTTAAAGATATTTATAAATGTAGAAACCGTGTAAGGCAAATACAAAAACTACAACAGTTTTTCAGTTATGATTTCACCATTAATTACAAGTATTTTCATCTGCAAATTCCAATAAAAAAACGTCAAAGAATAATACATAGCATTAACATTTTCGAGATAATAGTTTATTTACCAAATCCCTCAAATATTAACTACTGACACATATTCCATTTCATAAACAGATTCAAATTGAATTAAAAATATATCTTTAACATCTTTAAATCATTTTCATTAGAGTAGAATCCTGATTTTCATTTCCCTCCCCAGGTTCATCTCTTCGTTATACGTAATTAGGTAAATAAAAGATTCGTAATTCTTCACTATATTCGTTATATATATATATATATCTTAAAAGTATTCATTTAGTTTTTAAGTTATCGTTAAAAATAATTTTTAAATGTATTTAGCTGTCCATTAGATTATATTACAAAAATATTATTTTTGTCCTTATTAATAAATTCAAAAACTTAAAGTTTATACAATCTTTAAAAGTTGTAAACCAACTTCAACAACTAAGAGCAAAAAAAAAAAAACGATGAAACGTGAAAAATAAATATACGTCTCTGTAGAGCATCTCTAATGATAGCCGTCTCTCGTTTCTAAAGTGAAAAAAAAACACCAGTTTCTCTGAGATAAAACTTAATAAGTTTCTTTACTTTAAATCAACTGTGTTGATTCCTTTATTATTATACTCTCATTATGGTTAGCAAGAAAAAGTTTAGATAAAAATTAGCCTCATTAATTATTTGTATTTTGGTGTAATTTGGATGAAAAATATACGTTTTAAAAGTAAATGAAAATTATGCATCATTCGTAATAAAGATACTAAAAAACTTTTTTTGTCATTAAAAATAATACGCAATATATTTGATCTACTGGGAATTACTCCTCACTTGCGACACATTATTTAAAATAACACTAGACGTGTTTTTCACGAGAAAGTATAATTATATACTTAGGTTTATTTTTTACAATTATACGCAAAAAAAAAATAAATAATAAACACTAGTAACGTTTTTATAAAGGGAGATAACCCTCTTTAGTTAATATTAATTGATAACTAGTTTTTTTTATCAAAAACATTAATAATAATAAAAAATTCCACACAGGTGTAGATTTGGGCTATATTTTAATAAACTCACAAATCTAGCCTACTTTGTGGATTTCCTAGCATCTAGACTGTATCATTACATACATTAAGTTTATTTCAACATATTAAACTGCAATTATTTAATTATTTTTTTCAGGCTAAAAGGCATTTAAAGACAATATTTTTTTATTTGTGTAATATTATGATTAAACATATATATATATATATATATATGTATTATTTACACTCATTTATAATTTACAGGAATTGTAACCCATCAATATAATGGGTGATCTACTGTTGCTTGTTCGTGAGTCGCAAAAAAGTATGTCAATTAGAGTTCTGCGAAAAGGGATGACTGTTATTTATGTGAAAAAAAAACATCTGTTATGTAGAAACGATCATCAAGCCGGACATGCCAAACTACTTAGTTTAGATGCGTATTGTTTATAACAGAAGTAAAATATTGAAAACTTATTAAAATATAATAATTTCAACAAAATAGACTATTACATTATATTTACTTATCTTAAAATATTTATTTTCATATTTAAGATGATAAGAACAACAAATTACCGTTTATCCAATAATAATAATAATAATAATAATAAATAGGAATAATAAAATGTGTGCAATTAAAATTAATTTATAACATGATATATATAAAAAAATGAAAACAAAACATTGAAAATATTGTGTGCATACGTAATACTAATAAATTCAATAACATAATTAACACTAGGTAGTCTAATTGTTGTTATTGGTATTGCCTAAAGATATTAAATATTCTACAATAGTATTAAATTATACATATTAATATGAAAGACTAATCTTTCAGACTTAATGAAAATAAAGAAAACGTTTTCTTTATAATTGCATGCCAATAATATCGACAAAAATATTCTAAGAGTATTAAAAAAGTTTCATAAAATCGATGACAATAGGTACCTAATAACTACAACACTAATTTATATAAAATAATTTAATAGAATAGAATATAATGTAAGAAATTATTAATTGAAAAAATAAATTATTACATAATCACAGGCTATACGGATATTGTATTAAATATTCAATCAGTTCATTCGGTAGTGATGTAGGAGTGATGGTGATCAGACACTTGTGTCTATTAATCACTAAACGAGCCAAGTGCTTCAGGGACGGGAACCCTTTAGCATCAGTCTTAATCATCGGTATTTGAAGATTCATCCAGGAGAAACATTGTCCTCGCCGATTAGTCCACGCGGGATACGGAAGCACTCGACGAGATGTATCGATACGGGACAGTCTTACGTAGTAGTCAATTAGTTCTATAGGACACCGAAACTTTGGAACTTGCAGGCCACCGGACAGTCTAGGCATTGAATCCAACCCGAACACGCCGTCCGAATACGTGAATCGGACGCTCAATTGTCCTTCGTCAGCCGTTTGAATATCCATTGTAAAAAGGTAGCCGGGGTGCTTGGAATCGCGCACGTAGAATCCTCCGGCAGGCATTTTAGTCAAAGAGTTGCTGGCTCGTGCTTGCGATTCAGCTCCTTCGTAATACCAACCGGACGCCCGCAACTTGTCCACGGCTGCAGAAAGGACCCGTAGATCTCGGACACCTACATCCACTCCCCCTGTGGTGGACGGAGAATTCCGATGGTATCTGTCGGATGGTGCGTGGCCACGGCCGCCAGGTTTACGCGACCTGGACGATACTATTCGGCCGCCTGCGAGAGTCAGTTTGGATCGTTCTCGAGACAGGGCATGGTTCATATACATTTGGTATAACACTTGGTTGCGCTGTTCGAATGCCCATCGATCCCATAAACGGATCCAGCATGCTTGCAACCATAGCGATTTGTCTAAATCGACCGAAGCGGCGTTGTCATCCCGCAGTTGATCACCACTGCCGACACGACATACTGTATTTAACATTTCGCCATGACTTGCCGCTATCAGTCTGTGTAGTACTTAGTCGAGCTGTCGAAACTAAAAAAAAAAGACAATAAATCGTAAGTAAAAAATTGTTATCAAACGTAAAACAACATTATCTTTTCAAACAAGTCATTTTCATACGTAAATAATATAAGGGAAGTCCCGAACAAAATGAATAATAGTTACAATTTGTTAGGTGAAAATTGTTAGTTCAAGTACTTTTTTTCGGCGGATTAAAACATGTCTCGAGAGGGCAAAAGTTTTGAAGAATTATTAATTAAAAATATATTATAATTTGATTTTTGATGTCATAAATTGTTAAAAGAAAACAATACTTGAGTATTGATTATTCTAATCGAGAGTGAGGAAGTGAAGCTTCTTTGTGTGTAAAAGATAAAAAAAAAAAAATGTTTAGTAGTTTTTATGAATCATGTACATTTTGTTAAAATAAATTGAAATCACTTTACTGAGGTAGTAAAATAAATGATTTTATTTTATTTTTTTTAATGTTTTAATATATTACAGATGAATATAAAATTAAATTTAAGAGCACAATTTCAAATTTAAGATCATTTTACAAAATTGTTACTTATTAAAAGATGTTTGATAACAATATTTCGTACTTTTTTTTGCTCTTAAACTTAATATAACCGCTTGCCATGGCTTTCCATACACTCAAAAAAAAAATATGTATACAAGTAGCACGTCCGAAAACTTTTAAAAGATTACTGTAGATACATTATAATCATGTTTAATTTAAGAATACAGTTTTAATGAGTATTAAACCAGAGTTACGTATTTATAACGNTGATAACAATATTTCGTACTTTTTTTTGCTCTTAAACTTAATATAACCGCTTGCCATGGCTTTCCATACACTCAAAAAAAAAAATATGTATACAAGTAGCACGTCCGAAAACTTTTAAAAGATTACTGTAGATACATTTTAATCATGTTTAATTTAAGAATACAGCTTTAATGAGTATTAAATCAGAGTTTCGTATTTATAACAAAAATTTTAACAGAATTTTCAGACGAAAAGATAATGAAATTAAAAAAAAATATATCACTTACTAAAATCAGTAAGTAGTCTTTAACATCCACTTAAAAAAAAATGACCGAAGCCCATAATTAAAGCTGAATTTTATGAGCTCTTGAATCTGACTACAAGGACGTCTCATTGACCGAGATATGTCAATAGGAAATGGTATGGTGACATATACCGAGAAACACTTATTGAATAATATTATATTTTAGTCGGTCGACTGCACGTGGTGCTGACCATAAAGTGTATAAACTGAAGAATGGAAAAGAACACCAGGGGAAATTATAAGAGTTTTCCATTGTGCGAAGCGAGTACATTGAATATCGTTTGTTCTTCTTTTCCGAATTTGGTCATCTGACTTACATAATTTTATTATTTTATCAATAGTATGCACTAAATGCAAACGATTAGGGTCTTTGTTTCGAAGAATTCGCATCGGCGTTACTATGTCAATTTACTACATCAAACATGAGAGTAAAAAATAAATAGCCGAAAATCGTTTGTTTATGTGTATTGCACTGAAAACTAATAAAACATAGTTGACCGAAATAAATAAATTACCAGCGAAAATGTGTCGGCGTGTATTACCTAAACGATTGGTTGACTTTATGTATCTCTTCTCCGTATACTCGTGTGTTATACGAAACGACCTTAAAGAAAAAATAATATTAATTTGATACTCGGAAAAGACGTTTTTCTTTCGATTTATTTAATCATACGAACATCTCGAGGATCAATGTCTTGAACAATCGAAAACGTATAAATGTATTGATTGAACCAGATTGTGTGGCGGCTGTGCGATTTATGGCAATGAATTGTCGAGCGTATTCACTGGAAAACTAAAAGCTACTTCTCGGTATGGGCCCGTCGAGGNGCTACTTCTCGGTATGGGCGCGTCGAGGAAAAAAAAGCAAATAATAAAAGCGAGACAAAAGGAGACAGGGAGGAAACGATATGGAAAACGTTTTTTAATGATATTAATTTTAACGTTATGATAATCCATGTTCACCACCGGTTACGATAACGAATCACGATTTGTTCTTTTTGTTTATTTAATATATTACAGTCCACCGTATAAATGGAGCGAAATATAATGATGGCATGTACACTATTCATATGCTAAATGGGAGTCACAGAAACACCGGAACAATACGAGCTCCGTTCATTATCGAATCCATTATTATCATCTCGCTCATAACACAATCGGTATAATTCCCAGAACGGTATAACGACGCTATTAACTGAAAACATTTTTTTTTTTTTTTTAACGCCGTTCATTATTTATAATATCGAATCGAAACGATAATGATGACTCTGCCCGCTAATCTATTCCTAATTATTCTGCGGCCCGCACTTTTCTCGACATCATAAAAAAATAATAACGTTCTTTATTACTTATACATATTTTATTATAGCCCAGTCGATGAACACGAAATGCCATCGCCTCGACCCGGATGCGATCGTGAAAAATTTAATAATAGAAATAAGCACTGAAAATCATTGTAAAATAACCCACACAAAAGACATAATCAGTCAAGTAACGATAAAATAAATTCATTCACTTCGTGTACATTGATGAGGGAGAGGCAGAATATGAGGGTGCACGAAAAAAGATCCGAATGGATTCGTGGAATAGCTAATGGAAATTAACAACCCTACTTATGGGCAAACGTATAATTTTAGAAGATGGTCAATGCCGGGGAAATTAAAGAGAGTTGTTCGGTGTAAATTATAATTTCCAAGTATTTTGCTTGGAAAAGCGAAGCTAAACGATGATAATGTGAACCCGAACACCAGGAGATCCTAAATGGGGTAGTAAAAAATATATATATATTGAAGCTTTGAATAGTTGGCGATTTCATTTAATGCGTTCTAGAAATTCAAATTACACACCAAACTCCTATCGCTGACTGAGAACATTTTCTACTACTCCACACGATGACACTATTTTCACATCATTAATGTAATTTCTAATACGCGCTAAAAGTTTCCGTCAATGCTCATCAACGTTATTTTCGGCAAAAAATTTATTAAAATATACACGACGACGACGAGACGAATTATAAATAAACCGAAACAAAATGCAAACATTAAACGGTATTGTTAAGCGGAATCAACAATCACATTTTTAGTTCTAGGAAAAAGAATCGTAAAAAAACACTGCGTTGTTAAGAAAAAAATAGCGGATTAAAACAAAGCTAAAGTTAGTTGTAAAATTAATAGTTCTCGGATTAAAAGGGCATTTCAAAAGATTTTATAAATAAATTAGTTAAAAAATAAACTGACAACGAAAATTAACTCACGTACAAATTATTTTACCAAATTTGTACGACTCGGAATCGGATATTAAAAAAAAAAACACAACTGGAAAGCTGTTCACATTTGGCTGTGACAGGTTTAGTAGCATATCCCAATTACGTAATCGTATAAATCGGATTTAGATAGAAAAAATTGGGACAACGTGCGTTTGAAAGGGTTTTGCTCTTTCTCAGAAATCTTGGTAAAAAATTCGTATAGAAGTAATTATACTGTTCGGACTAGCATTAAATAATGTTAATAACATAAAATAACATCTTACTCTTATGGCAATATTTTATTAAAAAAAAAAGTAATTTCAAACATAAAACACACTGTTCTGGCGGCGAATGCCGTAAAGTAGAAACTCTCTCGTGATTGGGTTACTCTCCTAGAAAATTTTCCCGGAAACCATGTACACCTATTTAGGCGATGTACACAGGCAATAGCAGCGAGTGATGAGAATAAAAAAAGGCTTTTTAACAAAATGTTTAAGCTTATTGCTAATTTGCATTGTTGTCGCATCAACAGTTAATAATATTAGCCGGAAAATCAAAGGATAATACGACGACGATGGTCTTGAATGCAAGTCAAGATGTACAAAAGTTTTGCGACCTCAAACACAAAAATAGTTTTCGCAGAACTGAACGTATCGCGTAATAATTAAAAAAGTTTCTTGGATAGGGTTTCAGCCAACATACAAACGCAATTCAAATCACAACAACACAATAAAAACAACTATGTTTGGCCGCGACTTAAAAAAATGTGTAAAAACCGATGTGATTAAAGTGATGAAGACGACGTTATAGAGGCGCAATTGATGTAGAAAAACGTCATAATATTCATAGAGTATACTTAAGACGACACAAAAAAAATTAGAAATAGTGAAATTTGGCAACGGACCATGTGAAATTCATGTCGTGACGTCGACTTGGTATTTCTCTTTTAAACGTACAATTTATAGGCGTTCGGGCAGTGGGAAAGTAACGAGTTGAAAATTAATTGTAATTAACAAGCGATGCTCAAGTGTCGGCAGCTCGAATCGTACTCATTGCAACATAAAAAATAGCAATTAATATCGTTGACTATCTAAAATAAACTACTAATTGTTAACTTAAATAACTATCGACCTTCTAAATTGGAAGGTCAAGAGTTTATATAATTTAAAATTAAAATTATATTAAAAATATTAATTTAAAACTAAAAAAAATATTCAACCACAAAAAAATTACTAAAAAATCGCGGATACACATGTCGGGAACAATGTTACTATTATCAACGTTAAACAAATACTGACTGTAGTATGATTTAAGTAGTTCAACATTTATAATGGTAACATTGATCCAGGGTTATCAATATTTATTGGAACTCCCAATAAAACATAAAAAAGGAGTATTTTGACTACTACAAACACATATACATAAAATTAGTTAATATTTCCACATGCCCATCTTTAATACTTGATAATTACTTTAAAAAAGTATTTTGAAAAATAGTTTGATGGTAAAGCTACAACTTATACTTCTCAACGACCGAAATTTGACAAAATAATTAACTATTACATTAAATCAAGACTCCCTACAAACATTTTAAAACCACATATATATTGAAACAATATTTAGGATTATGAATACACTCCAAACATTTCTTCATTTTATATGTGGTATTTTTATATTTTATTTTTAATTATTTTTATTCCGCGTAAGATTTTTCGTCCGTTTATTTGTTACAGCCAATCTATTTGATAATAATTTCAAAAATTCAATTACAATTTAGTATACAAAATTTAATGACAATCCAAAAATAAACATCTAAAACTTTTAGTGAACAAAGAAGAATTAATCTGTTTTCAATAGAAAATTAATAATTGAGTTTGTTATTAATCTAATTCAATATGTTGATATAGATAGATATTTTTAATCCAATTATAAAGTCGACCGAATTCTATACAATAAGATACAAAATAATTTGCTTGCAAACTAATGATCATAGCAACCCCTCAATAAAACTTGAAAAAATTCCAGAATGAAGCTCTTAATTAGTACTTTCAATGACATTAATAACGAGGTTTGTTAAGGAAAACTAAGGATTAAAAAAAAAATCGGATTTAATTATAATAGAAAAGGAATATTAGTTAAAAATACTGTTTCATAAACCTAATTTCATGAAGCCTGAATAAAAAAAAAAAAAAAACGTTAACGAGAAATAATTTAGATAAATAATACGGAGTTAGTTATATTATTGAGCACTCGAATGATAATGGGTCATATTCATTAACAATTCCGAGAAAGACGATGAATATTATTTTTTTAGAAAATTAAAAAACTAATCATAGTACTTTACGGTCGAAGCGGTTCTAAGTAAAAAATCTCTTCCGCCGATGTTGTGTTTTTCAATAAATATGTTTAAACACCTTTAAATAATAGTAAATAATTATAAACTATTGTCGACGCAAATATTGAACAATCAACGAGCTATTTTTGTTTTTGTCCCGAGAATTGTATAAATAAATAAATTGTAGTCATCAATTTACATTGTAATTGCATTAATGATGATGTCGAGTCCAGTTCATTAGCAACGTTATTATTGTCATGATATGTCAACTGTGTCACATTATTATTAATATAACAAACGACTGAACAACAACAACAACGTTTCTAGTCTATAATTATTAATTATAATATTGAAATAATGAACTTGGAATAGATATCTAGAACACAATACACAATCAACGGAATAAAGCCTATGTATGTTTTATAGCCTATATACGTCAGCTACGGGACCAACATTAATTACTTCTATTAATATGCTGAGTTGATGTGGAGTTGCAAATATAATTACAATGGTTAATTGTAAATGGATGGTATTAATTTAAAATGCTTTAATCAAGCCGGTATATTACAAATTACACAATGAATCTACCGTGAATCGTATCTGGAATAAAGTGCAAAATAACGTCGTTTAAACCAAATTATGATTATTATAAAAATATTCACAGTGCCAAGTTTATAAAAATAATGAATCAAACCGTAAGGTAGAAAATTGTGCGAAACAACTAAAGTGAACATAAGGGCATATTTTACATGAACTAATTGACAGTAAATTTACATAGTTGTAAGAGAGTGTGCGTCGATACGTAATAAATGTACCGAGGGCTATATGGATTTTAATTTTTATAGAAGAAAACTACTATAAGGTTTTTTTTTTTATGCTCTAAAATCAATAACGATTGCTATTCTTATGGTCTCTACCGAAGTTGAAAATATACAACTCGCATACATTCAGATATGAAAATTACCGAGAAACGCTCTAGTCATTATTTTACTCTCTAACGCAATCCGATAGAGCTTGGGAAAAGTTCAGGGGATTTAAACTGACGTTAAAATTGAAATTTAACCTCCCTAAATTTCCGTTATTTTGACATCGAATAAACGTATGAAATATGGGTTTTATTTAATTGGATTTAATTTCATACCTACACACGATAGAGAACAATTAACATACGCTTGATTATTATGAATTTGACAATTTGAAAATAGCAATAACGCCAAGGCCACAAACACAATACAAAATAGATAACCACTTTATTGTTAAATTGGTATTCGCGTTAATCTATTCTCTAACGTAAAGACATAAACTTAATAACAAATATAGTACACAATAAATTTTCTGCGAAGTTTAGATAGATGAAAATAATAGATTTGCTAATTTAAGGAGTTAAATATCCACTAGATTGGTACACGTAAACAGAATAATAGACAACGAAATTGCTTAAAAGTTTTCATTAAGATCATTATAAAAGGCACCAGCGGAACGCGTAAAACTAAAAACGTTGTTTTTCGCCGAAAAAGAAGAATTTTTGTATTCTGCCATTCATTTTGAATTTTTAATAAAGGTTTATGTAAATGTTACATTGAAGTCTACTTCTCCGGAATCAAATGTTGAACTCACGTGTATTTTAATAAGCAACGCCTACACTATGTTTACAGATCACGTCAATGAATACCAATTAAACAAACCATAGCCGCCACTAGTAGACCAATTATTTTTTTTAAATACACAATTCTCCCAATTGTATAATAATTATAGCTTAAATTACCTTCAAAGAGTTAACGTCATTAACAGTCCAAAACTTGCTTTGGATTATGAATTACTATAGTATTGACTTTTATTCGATTGACCTTTTGTCCTATAAAACACCATAATGAACAATTCATACACTACATTACAATGTAAGTAGGGTATCATGAAAATATAATTATTCACGTGTAGGGACGCCGAGCAACTTTATTACTAAATTATACGCATATTATGGATAATGGGTAAACATGTATTATTGTAAGTATCAATATATTTTATTTTAAGTAAATTACCCAAACGTAATACTCAGCTAGCCAATAAACACGAGTTAGGAGGTGTTTATAGTATTATAAATTATACTAGTTATTAAGAGTCCCAAAATGATACTTAAATGAAAGCACAGTCTTTTGAAACATATAGTTAAATATGCAATAGTAAACAAAATATAATATAATATGAAAAATATTAGATAATGTTGGATTCTATTGGAAGATGTATGTTCATTAAAAAAAAAATTCGTAAATATGTCACGGTAGATGATAATTTTATAAAGCAATCAACCGAAAATAACGAATAATACTATAGAGTGACGGTTGTTTCAAATAAAAAGTGTGTCATTCATATGAAACCAAGAAGTACAAAAAAATAATAATAATACCAAGAATTTCTTTTGACAACTATTTGTGCATAATACACATAACATGAAAATTCTTGAGAAGTACTGTTATTAGTTTAAAAAATAAAACAACACTTATGAATAACACATAAATATTTGAAAACAAAAAACTGAATGAATTTAAAATTAAAATTATAATCAAATTTGATAAATGATTTACAATTTATTTGATATTTTTATTTTTTACAGTTATTAGAAAAATAACATAGACAAAATATAATGATAAACGGTTCGATTTATTAAAAGTACTGCCCTCCTTCCATTATTTGACTAAATGATTTTTTTGTGATATACAGTTTAAAATTTGATTTGTATTTATGAACCATATTAAATATCAAGTTTGTTGTAAGAAAAAATATTTTTGAAGTTTAAGTTTTTTGCGGATAAATTTTGTAAGGTTAATGGGAACCTATAGTTTTCTTTAAATATTAAATAGACTGGATGGAATAAAATTTTTACTAATCGATAATCAGTTGTGAAAACTAGTTTTTAAATTAGTTATATTTTTAGTTATAGGCGGCGAGAAGGGTGTGCAGTATATATTTTTATGTTCGCTATATGATAAAAAGAGAGCGTCACTAAACACTACTTCGCGTTCGTCTCTTTTCTACATTTTTGAATACTATTATGTTATTAATTAAAATTACTATACTGGTTATAAACCTGTTAACATTTTATTAAATTTGCTCTACATTTAATTTTTAATTATTGTAAAAAAAGAATTATAGGTTCATATTTAACTTTCAAAAATTACCCCTAAAGTATTAATCCCCAGAAAATGTTTTTCTTACAACAAGCTTGATATTTACTACGGTTTAGAAACATAAATCTAAATTTAATGAAAAAATCATTAATTAAAGAAAAATAGGGTGTAGTGATCTTCTAAGCAAATCACACTATATCAACTATTGTTATACAGAGAAATTAAGGCCCCCCCCCTAAAAATTAATCCTGAATAGTTGCCTGTTAGGTCTTAATAAAATTTTTTAAGAAATTGAGAGAAGTAGCTATTGAAAAACAAGAAGAGATTTAGACTTTTCGTAGTCATCTACAATCTGCTACGATCACGAGTTTTTCATTTTAGAAAATGACAATTAATTGAGTGAAAACTTTCATTGGTCACTGTGAAACCGTTACGCGACAACGACTGTGTTAATAGATCTATTAACGTCGTGTTTTGATTTGATAAACACCGACAATTTGTGGAACAAAAGAGAAAAAGAAGGTAATATTTTAATAGACACTGTGATAGACAAGCGGAACATTATAATAAATCACAATTCTATGGAGCTGACGCACAGTTAAAAAAAAAAATTCATAATAGTTTTAGTGCGATTAGTAGAAAAAACATTGATAACGATTCATGTTAATTCGTTTTATTTTTCTAGATTAACTAATTCGATCACTATTAAGTAACCTATTTAAAGACCTGAGATTCACGTCGAACGTTTTATTTACTAAGAATTCATTAATACTGGCGCAACACTCATCAACACACCAACGTGCGTTTCGTTTTACGATTGGATATTTGAAAGTCTAAAAAATGCTCTTGTAATCATTCGGTTGGTTCGACCGAGTTGACATTGAAACAATTAACCACATCGCCTGACCCAGCAAATAGTAAATTTAAAAAAGCGTACAATAATCTAGAGAAGAACAATTTGTCTAACTCGTCGCATTCCACTAAAACTTTGTTGCGACGACTTTGACTGGGCATAGGTAGAAAACTCCACGAGGCCAATAAGTTACAAATTGATTGCAATAAGACATCGGAACCGCTTTATTGTTCTTTTCCAGTAAGACTGCTCCATTTAATTGCTTTCGGACATTCAATAAGACGTATTAATAATTTAAAGATGGTAATTTCACACACACAGGCAATCCCTTAGATATTTAACTTGAATAATTCAGTCATCGGTATAATTTTCTAACACAAAACCCGCATTTTGTATAACAACGCAATGATATTTCCAACAAAAGACTTACTGGTATGATATTCCGTATTTAAATCAACATAATCCTTTGGGGAAGTATTTGCTACACACTGCCACTATTAAGAGTAAAATAAAATAAACACGTTAATTCGAGTTTTTACTAAGTCATTAAAAAGATCACAGATTCAAAAAAATTAACGATTTAACAAGGCCGGCTTGTTACGAGCCAAACGCACACTCCAAAACCGCGAGCCGGCGGAGTACTGAAGGCAACGACGCCGACACACGAACAGCGCTCAACTAATACTGTGCGCGTTCAGTCGACTGTAAAATTCCGTAGGGATCCGTTAATCGTGGAAGGGAACAATATCGCGACCGATTCGAATAAGCTCGAGAGTTTTCGCTTATCAATTATCGCGTGCTGTGATCCGGCGGTGCCTGATCACCATCATCGGAGCGCGGCGCGGGCGCTTTGGTGTCTGCCGTACGCGTCGGTACAACCAGTAACATTCGTAGCGCCGTGGTGGACTCGTGGAAATGATAATGGCGGAGGTGATTGTAGTGGTGGGACGGAGGTGTGACGGCGAGTGGTGGTCGTTGTCGCAGCCGCTGCCGTCTGTATAGTTTATATGCATATGCCCATATGTCTGTGTATCTGTCGTGTGTATTTATACGACGACTATTCCCGGAACTCCTACGCACGCTCAGGAGACCTTCAGCATCTATTCTCGGAACTCTCGACCGCCCGTCGGCGCTGGCCCCTTACCACCACTCCGCTTGTCGGTGTCACGGTAGTCTGATGTTCCATTATTAATGCTCCGCTAGACTATTTAATAATATTAAAATATCGTGTACCATGTGAAAAGAAAAAAAGGCGGCCCAGGTGCTGTGAACATTCGCCGGGTGCGTGTGCCGTTGCAACGTGTAACCCCAGGACCGTCAGCTGTCTGAGAACAAACATGGGGAATATCGTGGGTAGCACTGGATTCAACTCGTTACGGGAAAGAATAGATTGCCGAGTAGGAGATGTGGGTGGAAGGTCGGCTGATTATCTTCGAACAGCCGCCGCCGTTCCTCATAACGAGCAGAACAAACAAAAAATTTATCCCGATCCAGGAATCAAGACAAAGTCACTGATTGTCCCATTAAACTATTTGCATATTCCTTGAAAATATAAAAATATATCTTTTTGAATAATAGTCGGCCTTATCGCGTCAGTGAACTTTTACATTATTTGAAATTACATTTTAAACACAGACCAAAATCCTTTTAGCAAAATATAAGCTTTTAAAGGATATTCCAGTAACCTTGTTTAGTACGCGAGCAAAATATAAAGATACGACCTACGTAAACTCTTACGAAAGTACGAGAGAAACAATACTTGATGCGTTAGTTATAAAAAATATATGAAAAAAAAAAATGATTCAAGAGCGAGGCTAAAAGTTTTTTTAGTGTTAAACTTAAAGCGAACAATAATACAAAAAAAAAAAAGAAGAAAAATGTTCAAAGTGAACTTAGTAGTAAAATTTACGGTAAATTAAATAAAATTTCTTAACGATTAGTTTTACTTTAAAAGTCGTCACTCGTTTAGATTTTCAAATTAAGATTAGTCAAAACAAAACCTTCATTGTATGCGAAGCCATCACAAAGCGAAAAATATGAAAAAAATTGTTTTTATCGACCGAGTAATTTTTTTTTTAATTGTGATAATTTTTTATTTTTATTAGCATATTTTAACATAAAACAACTGTGAAGTAAAGGGTGTGAAAACTCTACGCTCAATCTTGGGATGACTTTGATTATATGATCTTATTATATAACTGAACGAAGAAAAAAACACATTGTTGAAAAAATGAGGGTTGTTGTTACAATTTAAACACAACTTCGTAAAACAGCGTATAAATTTTGTAAATTGTTTATTTATGCTTTAAACAGATTTTTTTTTTAAAGAAGTATTCTTACAGTCCTGGAAAAATTACTTAGTATCCTACGATTTTCAACATTTTTTTTTCACTCGATCATGTGACTCCAGGAAAATTATTGGCAAAGATCAGAAAATTTTTGACGCTTACATGTGTTTTAAAATTTCGACAGCTTTCGAAAAACACGTTTGCTGACATTTTTGAACCCAACCCAACCAGCTTTTTGCGACTTAAAGTCTGAAATTTTTACCAAAGATATTTATGCAATAAAAAAAAATTCAATATGTTCATTTTGGAATGTTCTGTGTGCGTTTGTTTTTTAATTCCATGTGCATGTGTATAAGGGGCGTCCGAAAACGTATGAGTATGGTAATTTTACAAGGAGTTAATAAAATATTCATAATTCATTATAATCGTTTCTATGTTTTTATAATGATTTATTCCGGAATATCATTATAATGTTGTCTGCGTATGATTATTTTTCCATACTGGTTTATAGTGTTTAACTATTATCTTGGNGTTTTTATAATGATTTATTCCGGAATATCATTATAATGTTGTCTGCGTATGATTATTTTTCCATACTGGTTTATAGTGTTTAATTATTATCTTGATTTTTTTATATTATTTATTTATTTCATTTTTTCACACAATTATTTTGGGGCGTTAATCCAATATAACAATTTATAACACATAAGTTTAACAATAAAAAATTAATGGCAATGACGGTGGGACGGTTGTGGTCGAATCGGTAACGCGTCAGGACCTGATGCACACCGTCTCGGGTTCGAGACTCGGTCAAGGGAACTTCCATTTGTTGAACGAAACCATCAGTTTAGTGATTGGCCGTGGACTTAACCCCACCCATCCTGTAATATACATGGTTAAGAAACTTCCTCTTAGGGAAGGCCGCCCTCAAAGGGTTGTAAAATGTAAAAAATAAAAAACATTATTTAATGAAAATCATTTCAATATACAAGTAGTTCATAAAGTAAGGAAACGGGTCAATTATTATAAGTATACGTGGTGATTACAATCATTGTAACTACCATAAATTATGACTTATATATTTTTTGGATGTATTTTTAAGTTATTACAAATTTTCAAGTTATTTTAATAAATAAATATATGGGTGTACAGTAAGTAAGGAAACGGGTTTCTATTGTACTTAATGTTTGTAACAACTGACATGTTTGCTTACTTACTAAACACTCTGTATAAGAATTGTGGGAATGATATTTAACCACCAAGAAATCTAATTCGTTACTGTTAATTGGACTTGTATCTTTTTTTCAAATATAATCAAGTTAGTAAGATCTTACAGATAGCGTATTCGTGAGTTGGCTCTAACAAATTTAATGTTGGGTACGTCATTTTTGCTAGTAGTTATTTATTTTTTGAATATGTATTTATTTTTAAATGTAACTTCTTTTTAAGTATTTTTAATTAAGAAATATTTTAGACGATTAAAAAAAGTACGAATAATTAAAAAAAAAAATGTTTAACAAAGAGTAATTTATAAGCTCATTAAAGTTAAATTAAGTTATGATTTAATAGTACCTTACAATACATTTCGTTAGTGCACGCGACTGACAATACGATGGTGTTTTGTTTGTTTTTAAAATATTCCCTAAAAAACCTTAGTTAAAAATATGGTAGTAGCTACTATTCATGAATTATTTATATATGCATAAGAAAAAAGGTCGTAAGATACTTTGCACGACGTGTACATACATAATATAAAGCTGGTTTTCTTGGTACTCAGATTTAAAATTCAAATTCTCTGCTATGTAGTGTACATCAATTATTTATATAGGGTCACCGAATGTACTCGTCTGTATTGAACTACCCATTTTATTTAAAAAGAACTAATTGCCATTGTTATTATTTTTAACGAAAACGGTTATAAATATTTATTGGAGCATAAATCTTTTAAACAAGTGCATTCTTTAGACGCCAATTAACTGCATCGCAGTAGTTTGATTTCCGAAAAATCGAGATCAACTTTCGTACTGAAGACTAACCGGCGTCAGCTGGCAGATACACTAAAACAAATAGTTATTTTGCAAATACTAATATTATTACTATAACGAGGACCGCTGAATGAAATGTTCAAGACTTGGTATTTAACATTAACGTTCTACTGACGATAGAAACTTCCGAATGATGTGGTTGAACATTTTGCCAGATTTTATGTAAACACAAACTTCAAGGTAATCGCGAGAAAACCCTTAAGATATTTGAAATTTACATACGAAAGTACTTGTATATGAAAATTGTGACGCGAGTACGTTGATAACGAATAAGTTTTCATTAGATTCAAAGTACGCGTGAAAAATGTGTACAGTTTGCAAGTTTTAAAAACGAACATTTCCTCTGATTTATTATTTGAATAATCACAATAACTTAAAACCTCCGGAGAACCGGTAAAATAATTCAAAGCCAACATTTTAATGTCGAACAATCGAATTTTGTTTTGAATTTTATGTAGAGTTCTATGAACACTGTTCACCACGCACCATGTATAATAGACAATGAGCTATTTTCTAGGTACGCCTGTTGTAAATACAACTTGGATATTTCAAATCTGATTCATGAATTCCGCTGAAAAGGTTTCAACAAGTTGAGTTCGTGAACTATTAGAGTCAAGGCCTGACGAGCACCACCACCTCGGCGATGCATTAGGACATCATTAACATTTGAAAACGTTTTTTAGTAGAGACATTCGTATATTTTAACGGTTAGATCTTTTGTGCGCCGAACGCAATATAATGATCTCTTGGTCTCGAGAAAGTGCATTCACCTTTTATTGTTCCGGTTTTTTTTTATCTAGGAATAATCGTCTGACTGACCAAAATGAATACTAAGAAGTAGGAGTAATAAAATATTTAATCAATAAACAATGTTTTAACAACTAATATAACCACTAATTTAATCTAATAAATTCATATATAATTTCAATATTATACAAAAAAACGTACAACAGACGCATTTGAGTAATTTTCATATTTACTGTAAAAGTACCCAAACACGAGCAAAATGCATTGAAAAAATAAACTCTATTAATTGTTTCTCTTAGGAAATGAATCGTTCAAATAAGAGGAATTCTAAGAATAAGTGAATTTAGGTGTTAATAAAGAAAAATTTTACCATGAAATACATTAACTCAATTAGCTAAAAGTTATGCTAAGAACATGAGTTTTTTATTTTTGTGACATATAATTGTATAATAATATTTTATTATAATTTTAATCGAAAATATTTAAAAATAGTGACTCATATAAATCTTTTTGGGTATTTTTATATTTGTGTTGAACTATACTCATATGCGCGTATGTATAAGTGTATTGATTAAACGCCTAGAAATGAAAATATATAAAAATTAGCCCCCTAAAATTTCATAGCACGGCGGATTTTTATTATTTTATGTCCAATTTTTTTAACCAAATGATTACAAATTTACTTAATTTTTAAAAGTATTTTTTTTTTTTAAATTCTTTTTGAGCCGGAAAAAAATAAAAATTCGTTTGATTGAATAACTGCAATTTTCAATCATTTCTTTTTTTGACATTATTACTAATTTATA